ACGAACCAATCCCTGCTCTGAAGGAGTTTACATTTTGTTGGGAGAATATATCATGTACATGTATTCAGAAAATTAAATAAATTAGATATAAAGTAATTTCAGAGTAATTTCGATTTTTATGTACTTGGTTAGTACAACTATGAGATGAAATCTCATCATTTATCATGGATCCGTCTCCTCATACAAATTCACCAAAATGAAGGGGCCTAAATTGGTAATGATTTCCCTAGAGTATTTGTATACTGTGATAATCCTGGTCATTTGCAATTGTTTTACAGGGCTGTTGGGTATTACATGATTAGAATGTATTTTTTTTAAAAGAGGAGGATACTGGATCCTAGAAATTGGGGGCCTTAGATTAGGTTTCCCGGTGATTTGAGTAGAGTTTTGAAGGAAGTTGGGGAGGGATTCTAAGAAGAGGAGGTGGGGAGTGACCTATGTTCCAAGGATGGGCAGAAGGAGGGGAGAGGGGATATATAATCTATGCAAAGGTATAAAGGTGAGAGATGGAATGTCTTATATGAGAAGGCAAATTTGAATGTGAAACCCAATCATTCAACAAGCATATATTAGGCCTCTACTACTATCTACTACTGTGTTAAGGATATAAAGTGTGAGAAATGATTATTTCTCTCTGGTACTAATAACTAATTTATTAGAACCAAGGTTTTTCTGTTTTTCTACTTCTTCATCCAGAAACCAATCAGTGTGGGGAATCTTTCTAAAATACTTAACTATCCAGTATGGCTGAGATCTAATCAAGGGCAGTAAAAGACATTTTCAGTTTGAGCTAGTGGGTATATTCTTTTTTTTTTTTTTGCTTTCTTTTGGTGAGGCAACAGGAGTTAAGTGGACTTGCCCAGGGTCACACAGCTAGTAAGTATTAAGTGTCTGAAGCTGGATTTGAACTCAGGTCCTCCTGACTCCAAGGCCAGAGGTCTGTTCACTGAACCACCTACCTGCCCCAATGGGTACATTCTTGCTCATTTTGTTTGCTCAGAAAGGTCTGGGAAATGTGGATCCTTCCTTTTGTCAGAGAAGAGATATGGAAATTGATAAGTCTCTTCGACCAAGATGTGGGTGACCAAAGTCATATACCCCAAGACCCTCATTTTAATGTGGCCCATCTTTTCATTGTAATATTCATTCTTTCATTAATTGTTAACCAATCAGAGTTCATTGCCACCTTGAGGAACGTCAGCTCTTCCAAGGGCACATAAACTGTGAGCACACCACTATGAGAGGTCTTTGGTCTAAAAGAGATGGTCAAATGACCATGCTTTTATTAAAACGCAGGTTTTATTATTAAATGAATAAATTATCCAGAAACTATGTCTCTAGGATCCTTTTTATTTTTATTATTTATTTATTTGCTTTTTTAGTGAGGCAGTCAGGGTTAAGTGACTTGCTCAGGGTCACACAGCCAGGAAGTGTCAAGTATCTGAGGCCAGAATTGAGCTCAGATCCTCCTGACTCCAAGGCTGGAGCCCTATTGGATCCTTTTGAAACACCACAAAAGTAAAAGGGAAAATAGTTCCTGCTCCAAATGAACTCATTCTGATGAAGGTGATAACATGTATATAACTAGATACATGCAAGATGTATACCCTATACGTGGAACATTGACTTAGGCAAGAAGACATTAGTAGCTGAAAAGATAGAGAAAGCTGTCTTGCAGAAGCTGATATTTGAATTTAGTCTTGAAGGAAGCCAAAGATTCTTAGAGGTATATGTGAGGAAAAAGCATTCCAGGCATTGGGACAAGAAAGACTATGCAAAGGGATGGAACCAGATGATGTAGTCATCGGCAGGGAGGTCAACATGGCTGTACTATAGTGTTGACTGGCAGGGCTAGAGGGAAGTCATGTGTAAGAAGATTAAAAAGGTAGGCTGTGATCAGCTTGTGAAGAGCTTTAAATGCCAAAGAAAGCACTTTACATTTGATTATAAATGGAACAAAGAACCACTAGAATTTATTGTGGGAGTGAGAGGAGTGTCACGAACTTCCAAAGGATCATTTTGACAGCTCTGTGTTGGGGGAATGATTAGAGTAGGGAGGGATGGGAGGTAGGGATTCCAGTTAGAAGCTTATAATAGTTTAGTGAGAAGAATAAGATGGTGTCTGTGTTAGTGGTGACAGAGGGGGATATATGAGAGATGTTTGGAGAAGGAGATTTGAAAACTGATTGGATAAGTAGAGTTGAATGAGTCTGTATTTTGTTCTAGAAGGGAAAGGTATAAGCAGAGCTTCTTGAACAGGGGAGTGAAAGGTTGAGGCTTTAGGAATCATACTAGGTGTTATTTAGAATAGACACGATCTGTCCCTAGGAATTGTGAAAAAGTAAATCACCAACAATTAGAGAATGACTGAATAAGCTGTGTTACATTGATATCAAAAGGCCCCATGTCGTAGTAGATAGATTGGCCTGAAGGTTACAAAGACTTGAGTTCAAGTGCTGCCATTGACATATCCTGAGTATTTGAGTCTAGGCAAGTCACTGCCTTTGTCAGTCCCCATGCTTTAAGATCATAAATTGTACATTAGGTGTCACTTTTCTGGAGTAGAGGAAATTAAACCTTAAACAAAAATCCATCACTGTAATAAAATTCTACACCCCAATTTAAAACACGTATATAAATACAATGAAAGACATGTGCCTTGCACATGGATGCTACATAGATGCTTATTAAATTGAATTGATAACTGCTTTTTGTGTGTACATATGTATGTGTATATGTGTACATATACGTATATGTGCATACATGTAAATAGAAGTATATGTATATATCTGCGTACATGTGTATGCATACATATGTGTATACATACATATATGCATACATATATACATAATGTGTGTGTGTGTGTGTTGTGTGTGTGTTTGAGGAAGAAAACAGAGCCAAAAGATGAGAACATACATCGGTGTAGGTTGTTTTATTTTATTTTTTTGAGTTTTCCTCTAATCATTATAGCACCTAGTCTAAATGCTGACTAAATGAAATCAGATACTGTGTCCATCCTCCCACCCTTTCCCTACCTGATTTTAGTGTAATTTTATTTTTCAAAAATTCTAGATGGGAGTAGAAAAGGTAAACTGAAATAATACAGTCCACCACATGAATGGTGGCAAAGAAGTATAAAACAATGATTTGAAGTAAATAGACCCATTTTTTTGTACATTGATATCAGAGAGGATTTTTTGAAGAATTTCTTTTATTCTGAAATCAACAGTTGATAGACATGAGCATTTTACACATAAAGAACAGAGAAAGAGGTGGTACATTGCATAGAGCTCTGGGCCTGGAGTCAGGAAGGCTTGAGTTCAAATTCAGTTTCAGATACTTAATAGCTGTGTGACCCTGGGATAAGTCACTTATCTGCTATTTACCTCAGTTTTCTCTGCTGTAAAATGGAGATAATAGGATGACTTATCCTTTGGGGTTCTTGTGAGGAGCAAATGAGATCATATTTGTAAAGAGCTTACCACAATGCTTAGCATATGGTAGGAGCTATATAAATGCTATCATTATTTTAATTATAAACTACGAATCTCTATTATGAACAGCTTTTTTTAAAAAAGTAGCATATATTAAATTAAAATGATAGTGCCAACTCTTCCCAGCTTGTCTGAGTCCCTTTATGAATTTCCTTCTGCTCTCTCCTGTGTATTTTCAAAGATATCTCATTGATGCTTTTCCATCGCATACATATATCACAATTTGTTTAGACTAGATGGGCTCTCACTTTTTTCCTCATTTCCTCACTGTAACAAAAAGTGGTATATTATGCAGATTTTTGTATGTATGAGTCCTTTCTATCTGCCTTTGACTTCTATGTGGTATATACTTTATAGTAGAATCATTGGTTCCAACATAATGTGCAGAATAGGGATTTTTGAAGTATAGTTCTAAATCAATTTTCCAGAAAGGTTTGATCTATTCACAGTGCATTTGTGTGTCTGTTTAACTATATTTCTGCCAACAACTATTGTTTCCTGTTTTGGTCATCTGTCAACCTGATGTGCATGAGGTAGAACCTTAGAACTGTTTAGTTATCAGTGATTGGAAGAATACAAAGGATTTTATAGCTAGTTCAGCTAGATTTTATACATAAGGATTCATTAGTTTATTTTCACAATTTTCTCAGGCCTCAGTCTCCTTATATAAAAAGAGATTATTTGGGCTAAATGAGATCTGAGTTTCCTCTAAGCTTCAGAGAAGAAATTAGCTCTTATCTATGTATTCCTGAAAGATTGTAGGTGCTTAATAAATGCTCGCTGACTGGCTATGATTTTATGATTCCTTAATTTCAACATGAAATTGACATGGCAACAATTACAACAATTATACTCAATCCCTACCACCACTCAAGTATGCTTCTGCTTTGTTGGAACACACAGGAACCATTTAGATGGGGACTTGGCGGCTACAGATTCTTTTGCACATAGAAATGTGATCCAGTCATAACACTGAATACAGTATGGAAAGAAAGGGAAATACATTTAGCAGACAGTGTTCACTTTAACCCATCATGCAGGAGATATATGACTTAACATTCCTTCCTCTACTCTCAAGGTGAAGATAAATATTTTCCGCAATATATAGGCAGCATGGTGTACCCCAAGAACTCTAGACAGACTCAAGAAAGACTGAGATTCATACCCTGCCTCTGATATTTACCAGTGGTGAGTTCATGGGTACACAATCATTTAACAATTCTCTACTTTGTATGATGGGACTAATAATGCCCAGTGGGCATATCTCCCAAGGTTCTCACGAGGATCAAATGAGATATGGCATACCTCAGACACTTATTAGCTGTGTGACCCTGGTCAAGTCACTTAACTCTGTTTGCTTCAGCTCCCTTATTTTTAAAATGAGCTGAAGAAGGAAATGGCAAACCACTCCAGTATCTTTGCCAAGAAAACCCCCAATGGGGTCAGAGTCAGAAACAACTAAACAAAATACTTTGCCGATCTTAGGGTGATATATACAAGTCAATT